GGCTGGGGACCTTGGCACTCTTTCACAGTTCACATCTGTGAACACCCTAACGTGTTAGGTCCCAGAGGAATGCTCATTTACAAGAATTCACTGGATCTTGGTAGCAGTCCTACGAGCAAATGCAATTAATCCTATTCTACAGGTAAGAAAATCAAGCCTTCGAAATGTTAGTAGTTACTTCAGTCAAGCTTCTTCAGTGACACAGAACCAACCAGGCGTGTGCATGCATGAGGTGAGGTGAGGAGGGATAGATGGGAATTGGTTCACATGATTATGGAGTTTGGCCAGGCCCAAGCTCTTCAGGCTGCGCTGGAAGCTGGAGAACCAGCGGATGTTGTGAGAACTTTGAAACTGAAGGCTGGCAGTTTTGTCTTGGAGAAAGCTAATGTTTCAATTTAAGGATTAAGTCCAGAAAGAACTCGGTGTTGTGGGTAGAACACAGGTAAGCAGAAGCTAACACTCTTCCCTAACCACTTTGAAAATTCTAGTCAAGCTGTCAAAAGATTGGATGAGGCCTACCCAGGTTTGGGGAGCAACTGGTTTTCCTGTTCTGACTTCATCCAGAACCACTCTCAGACAGCCAGAAGAAAGAACAACCAAGTATCAGTGATCTGACCTGATGTGGGCAGTTTGCATCCACAGCCCAGGAGAGCTAAATGCTGAAACATTACCAGTCCCAGCGTTTGCCCAAGATACCACCTCTGGTAACTGGTGAAGCCAGAATTCAAACATTGTACCATGTAATGTTCATGCCTCTTTTCTTGAGCACACAGCCACCATGCTCCCTGCCCAAATCTGTTACATATGAGCCTCAACCAAAATGACTACTCTGATTCTCACTGACCTAGAGTCAGTACAACGCTGTTTGGGGCTGATTTACACGTCTCAGGGTTTTGCTGTGTGTGACTTGTGGCTTCTTTGTACCTCTCATTATATTGCAAGGAATCGGGAGGTGGTGGGGGGGAACCAAGGACTGTGTCTTATCCATAATAACAGCTAATGTTGTGACTTGTGGTAGACCATGAACCCGAATAATTCCATAAATCAGTTGCTTCTTTTATTCTACTTTCTAGACACCTGAAGACTGTATTCTCATCAGTTTGCACAAAGTGGAACAAGGGTTTGACCCCAGGCAATCTGGCTTCAGAGCCTGAGTTTTCAACCACCATGTTCTTAACATCACTGGGATGTGTCCATGCATCCTTTCCCCTGGCTGGGCTTCATCTTCAGAAGCTATTTCAGAGATGACAGGCAGGCAAAGGAGCTCTCTTTGAGAAGTCTTTATCAAGGATCAAGAGCTCCTTGGGAGGTCAAATGGTTTTGGGGTTGACTAACTGGATTATGTCTTGAGGGGATGGAGTCTGACCTACGCTGTGGGCCTCTCCTTCCTAGGTTCCTCAGTTTCCACTCGACTCAGTTCCAGGGCACTTCCTGGGGAATCAGTGTGGAGAGTCCTGGGGCCCTCACTTTTCATACACAACGAGGCTGTCCTTATCTGCCTGATTGCTGCAGCGAAGACTGGGCTTTGAAAGTGCAATGTCACCTCACTAAACACTGACTGGCTGCCGTTCATTTGAGACACTGCCCCACTGGTCCTACACAAACAGGTTCTTTACATAAGGGCCACCAGCAGGCTTATCCTTGGGCTGGGAACAGTGCCAGCGCGTGGGTTTCCAGGTTGGCACACCTAGTCATTCTTCCGGAGATACTGGGACAGATGATGACTTAGGGCTCCAGGGACTCTGGGGGGCCTGTGACTCACTATTACCAGAGTTTCTCCCACCTTTCCTAAATGAGGAGGCAATATTTAAGTGTCCCTGAAACAAGTTTCTCTTCTTAGAGAACGGGATTTCTGGTTTTCAGTGGGAACTGCTTTGACTTGGCTTTTCTAAAATATGCAGATGTCCGTTCACAGCACAGGGTCACAGTCTTTTAGTGGCTGCCCTGTGAGCTCTTCTATGACTGAGGCAGGCTTTGCAGTTGTCAGTACCTGGTACAGTGTCTGGGATGTAGGACTCTGAGTTTCCTGGCCTGGATCATACCATTTCAGTCTAAGCAGGTTCCTAACAAACAGGTCACAGCACTGTCAGTAACAACAGTTCTTATACCTTGTTCTCAGAGGGAGGTGTGTGGTCAGTCCCAAGTAAGAACACTGAGACTTATATTAATGATGAAGCTGTTGGCCAATGACTAGGGCTTCTTATTGGCTAGCTCTGTCTTAATTATTAACCCATTTCTATTAATCTAAGTATTTCCACTTGGTTTTACCTTACTGGAGAAGAGTCCAGACCTCTAACTCCTTTGGTGGCTAAATGTCAGCTGCCAAGCATCTCCACAGAGAAAGATTTCCTGTTTGTCTCTGCTTATGTCTTGATTCTGCCTGGCTATGTTACTTCTTGTCTGGCCAATGAGCCAATCAGTGTTTTATTCATTAATCAATAAGAAAAACATATTTACAGAAGAACATTCCCCATCAGGACTCCTTCGGGAATAGTTTTCCCACCAACAAAACTTGAAGGACTTCCTCTTGATCACATTGCTTTGTCAAATAGGACAAATCCCTGATAAGGTCAGAGAAGGCTTGCTGGATTGTCCCTGCTCTGGAATAAACCAGCAAAGTGGCCTGCACAGTTTTATATGTGAAGGAAGGACACGGTCCGATTCCCTTGGGTAGATGCCCTGCAGAGAGAGGACATTATAGAACATATCTGGATTGTAAAGATAAATGTGATGACATGGGTAGTCATATTGACAGGGTCTCCCTGCTCTAGGCACTGACTGAAAAGGAAGTGGGGGTTGGGAAGGAATGGCAGTTTTCTAGAGCCTCCAATGAGGTGGGGCTGGAATTGGTGGCCCTACCTTAAACCACAGCACTTACTCTTGTACCAAGGCCCTGATGCTACTCGGATGCCAACCGAGGGACCCTGAGAGCTCTCCTGCTAATAAAGCACAGAAGGCCCTCTTCAGATCCTACACTCAGGAGACATCCTTCTTGTGGGGCCTTCATGGGGAAAAGAAATCTGTAATTCTTTGATTTTATTGACACCAAGGAATTTTTCTTCAAATCTTTGAAATCTTGGAGAAACAAAAAGAGAGACATGAACTTTGAAAGCCTGTCTTGTTTGATGTTATTCTCCTCTGGGGTAAATTTTCTTGTTCTGGGAAGATACTACAATTGATACTTGGTTCTTAGAGAAGAAAAAACAAACATTATCAAAGACAGAAATCCAAGCCCTGCTTTCCCAGGGGCTTGTGCCATATGCGATCACAAAACAGCTGTTTTCCTCATGGACAGCATTGCAAATGCTTTCAATAGGAAAGGCTTTCATCTTTAAGAAAGGGTTAGTCTGCAAAGAATAAAGCTGATTGTTTCTACCGTAGAGGAAACGATGTTCTTGGGGGTGGGGTGGGATATTGGAGACCTATCTGGGAGGCCAAGCAGGACAGTTCAAGGCCCATCTGGGTAGACTTTTGTAGACTGGTTCTGTAATATGCTAGACTTGTGAAGCCAGACTTTGAAAATGGACTCATGATTTCATTATTGCATTACTGTCCAAGATGAGACTAGCCTCTAGATGGTAGAGGCACCCAACTATTAATTGTGTTGGGACATGCCCCATGAGAAGAGATAGTAGGGATTTGGGGATATAGAGACAGGATTGAAGGCAAGGATGAAGAGAGAGTGGAGTGACTACAGACAACTTTCTCCCCTTTCTAGTGTAGAGATTGCAGGGCCTAGAACTGGTAAGGTGGGCTGTGGACTGAACTTGGGGGTGCCCAGTGGTGGTTATGCAGAGAGAGGATCTCCTTATTTCCAGGGCCAGTTTTAAGTGTCAGAGCTGCAATGCCTGTCTTTTATTACCAAATCCTTGTCAAATTCCTGCCATGCTTAGCCATACTGTTGGAAGAACTGTAGACCCAGCTTATCACAACACATCTCACAAGATGGCAACAAAGCAAACAGATTTGGAGTAGGGGCAGTGGGTAAAGAGGTTGGAATGAAGGTTGAAGGTGAAGGTTGGGGTGTAGATTTAAAACATATATTTTTTATTTGGCCTGTCTGGGATCGCAGATTAGCAAGATGTCAGGCAATGGAATAGCCCTATATATAGGTATCTGAGAGGAGGTGAGACTTTCAAAGATGGGGCTTAGGAATTGCAGCCATGCTAGTGGGGACACTGATTCTGCAGGCACGGTGGTTATGGTTAGCCGAATGTCTCTTTTGGGCACAGCACACAAAAACAAAGGTTTGTGGGGCTCTCATCTTTTGTGAGAAGAAGGGAGTTTGAGGAGTAGTGGTAAGCATTTACAGGGCCAGATGGACCGGCTGGAATGATTAAAGCAGGCATTGGGAGAGGATGTAAGACATAGTTAGTTACAGTTCTGTCTGCTGCACAGCGTTAGGAGCAGCAGAGATGAGCATCCTGCTTTGACTTTGCCCTTACCCTCGTCTAGACTGCCATCTCCCCACATGACTGGCTTGCTTGTTCCATTGCCTCTGGTGCTCCCCTCTGCATTCTCTCTCCCAAGAAGACCACACAGCCTGTCATCGCTGCCCAGACCTTCCCTGACTCTACCTGGGGAAGCCCTGAGCACAGCACCTGATGGCCAGTGGGGGTGGTCCCTGTGGAAGCATAGTCTTGTTACTTCATTTGGGTTTGGGGGCTCAGGAACAAGGAAGGGACAGAGCTTCATGTGGGTGACATGCCCCTGGCAACATAGTCACTGTGATGATTTTCTGGTTACACAACCTCTTCAGTGTTACACATTGAAACTTGTGTGAGAAACTACAGAGGGTAACTGGCCTCTCCCTGCCGTGACTGGCCGTGTTAGGCTGGCCTGTCTACATTCTAATGAGTGTGTTGGGTCAGTGAGATGATGACCTCTGTGAGCAGTTGTGGGGTTCATGCTACTTCTAGATGTGAGGGGCAACTTGGGCAGTGTCTCTTAGCGGATTAAACACTGGAATGTGGGGTGTGATAGAATTTTAAAACTCAAGGATGTCAGGCCAGGTTTAATGGTGCACATCTTTAACCCCAGTACCCAGGGGGGCAGAGCAGGTGGATCTCTGTGAGTTGAAGGCCTTCCTTGCCTATGTAGCAAGTTCAGGTCAGTCACAAAGTCATTGTAAGACCATCTCTCAACAATAAAAGGCTACATAGGCCTTTAGTGGTTTCCTGGTTTATCATATCTAACCAAAGGCAGGCCTGTGCAAAGACTCGCAGAAGGTGAAAATTATGCTGGCTATGGCTAGTCTTTAACGTTTTTTCCTTTCCACTCCGCGTCCGGGTTTTCATCTCCCTAGGCTACGCTGGAGTCTGCTGATCACTCCACTTCCTGGTGCTGGCAGAGGCCCTGGACTTCCCTGAACAGGTCTTTGCAGTTACTCCTCTGTGGTCTGAAAGGTGCTTCAGCAACTTGTGCACAGGTCTAGTGTGTTTCTGTTGGTGCTTTCTGGTGGAAGGAGGAGAGAGAATTCACTTCACTACACAGATCAGGAGCTCAGCAAATGTACTCTGCTCTCGGGACCGGCCACTATTTTTCCCCAGCCAGGAAGCTGTGTGCCCTGACATAGCATTGTGAACAAACTTACTTTCTAACAATTTTAAGGTATGCATTCCTCTTTCTAGGGAGGGATGGGACATATCTTTGCTTCCTAAGTCTAGTTGAGGAGTCTGAAAGAGGATTCGGAGATATTTGAGGGTGACAAAGCCACCGTAGGCCCGGTAATAGGGTTTGGAAGTGATTTTTACCCTTTCCTTTATATATGTTGCCCAAATCAGTTGGCATACTGATTTTTCCAGTAAGTGTTAAGTAGGCTTTGTAGGGTGAATGCTGGGAGGCAGAGCAGGTGAAGGTGCCCCTAAGCTGCCCATGTAACCTTTTAAGCTTTGGCTTCCTTATCAATAAGATACCCACCAAACAGCTACCTTGAGGAGTTACTCCAACTAAACCCACGAAAAGCCTTTTCCAGGGATGAGAGCTAAGTATCTGCTCTCATTGTCCTAGGCAATCCTTGATTCTCTGCTTTTCCAGGACAGTCACACGATCCTAGGGGGCAAGAACTGGAGACTGTGTTTCCTCCTAGCCTACTGTGAAAGGGAGTTCCAGTTCACTGCTACCCTCCTGGGCCCTGCTTCCAAGCAGATGAGTTGGAGTTTAGCACCCAGTGTGGATTGTCTCCTGCTCAGGAAGGCTATGTTGAACAAAGTGACCTCTCACTTCCACCCACTCCAGCGTCATGTGTCCTGCATTAACCCCCAAGTCTCACAGAGTAAAAGTCACTCAGTCTTATATGTTTGCTACGTATCAAAGAGAGACGAGCTGTCAGGAACCTGAGCTCAAATTGTCTTTAATCTCTCATGCTTAGAGACTTAATCTCTAAGCAATTCTCTTCAAGATGATTAAATCATCCCCTAGGGTTTCTGTCTTGGCATCCTGCTTTGGAGAGCATATTGCTATTATCTTGGCAAGGGAAAAGACAGCATAGGAATTAATGAAACCAAAAGGCCACATCTTGTGTTTGGTTCACTCCCAACGTGAGAGGCAGTATCTTAATCAAATGATAATAGAGATCTGGTCAGTGAAATAAAGCACTGTGTAGACCGTTTTCTCTGACTTGAGCACTCCTTCTTGGTGGGGATGGTTGGCTCATAAGACTCAGGAAACTAAGGACGTATTTAGATTAAAGGCTCAGTAAGTTCCTGTTGCTTAGTAGGTTCAGGAAACTCATAAAGTTACAGGCTTTTCAAGGCCCATCCCATGCTATATAAAAAAGTTACAGGCTTTTCAAGACCCGTCTTCAACACAATATAAATGGACAATGCTTGCTGGGGACAGGCGAGTGGGCAGAGAGCTCTAGGGATGTAGCTCTCATGAGTTGTCACCCTGGTCATGCTTTGAGCCTTCCATTCTCCAGTCAGAAGGCCTAATCAACCCATTGCTTTGTCAAGTCAGACACAGGCAGGATTGTTTCTGTGTCAGTTATTGGAACTTTATCTGAAGTCATTTGCTCATGTCTACCCATTAAAAAATCATACAACAGAAATAAAGCTGTTCATGCCAAAATGCTTGAGATAGGGGTTAAAAGAAAAAACAAATGTGAAAAAGCTGGATGGGAGTGTGTATTACATAATCACTGCTTCTTTAAATACAGCCAGCCCAGAGGGTCCGTAGAAGGGACAGACTCTCTGAACTGCCAGGTCCTGGGATCAGGAAAAGTAACAGTTCTTAAACTGATGCCGGCACCTTGTATTCCTAAAGAACACTCAGTAAACACGGGAGGCAAAGTCACGCTTCCAGCGTGCTCACCACCACTATCCACACCCGAGGCTGAGCTTCACACTTACTTGCTACTCCCTACGGCCTCCAGCAGAACAAGCTGCTGGCAGCTACTATGTCCTCAGACCCCACACGGAATAGCCGTCCGTTCCTTAGAAGGAGAGTGACGTAGTTTTCAGTTTTGCCCATGTGTCTCTCTTCTCTGGTAATTTTTCGTTGTTCATCTATTATCTGCGAGGCACAGGCCAAGGCTGGAGTCCACATCTGTACATAAGTCAGAGCTGAACTTTGCCCTCATAACGCAGGCCAGTGGAGGGAGTCAGAAAGCCAGGAACCATGCAGTGCAGTGGGTTCCACGATTAAAGTGGTGCAGGGTCTTTTGAGACGCTTGAAGAAAAATATGGTGTGGGCGTCAGGGCCACCTTAAGGTGCAGGTGAAGAATGAGGAGACAAAGAGCTAAGGAGGTAGGAAGCAAAGAGAATTCCAGGGCAAGGAAGCAGCAGGTGGCAAGGGGTCAGGCAGGAGAGAAAATGGCCTTTAGGGGGACACAAGCCACGGGAGGAGTATCGCATAGTAGGTACTTGAGGACAGACCTGACTCTTGGGAAGCAATGAGATTTGATTGTGTTTGGACTTGCAGCTTGTGAGAGGCCATTTAATTTAGCTCAAGCTTATTGTGAACAACTGTTGCAGGGACAGAGCAATTAGAGAAAGCCATGTTGGATTTCAGAAGTTTCAGTAAAGGATTATTGTAGACAATGAAAGAGTGACCTCTGTACAGGGAAGGCCTGCTGTGTACAGATGCACAGTATCTCTATACAAAAGTAATAATAATAAATTAAGTCATGTGATTTCGCTGAAAACTCCTTTATTTCCTCATGAACTTTTATCTTCTCTTTCTGCCAGGCTTGTTCTTTACTCTCTAAAATGATCTAAAATCTGTTTTTCTAAACATATTTTCAGATAAAGACAGGTTCTGAGACAAAATTTTATAAGCAATTTGTTCTGTTACTATTAGATGTCAGGAAAAGTGTATTTTCAACAAGCACTTATGGTTGTCTTCCGTGAAGCAGTTGGGTCTCAGACATTGGAGATACATAAGGGTGAGACACATCCAATATCTGATGCCAAGAAGCTTTTACTCTTGTTGCTGGTAGATTGTGTACCAAAAGCCAAGCAAGTATGTAAATAACAGCTCCTATGGAATCAGTGTTAGGAAGAAAATAAAACAGGATGAAGGAGTCAGGAGAAATAAGGACGCTGTTTGTAGAAAAGACAGGAGCTGTTTCTGAGAATGGCCTCAAGTAGAAGTGAGATGTGTGTGGATTGTTGCATGTTTATGTATGTTGAATGTAGAGTCAAGCAGAAGTGAGATGTGTGTGGATTGTTGCATGTTTATGTATGTTGAATGTAGAGTCAAGCAGAAGTGAGATGTGTGGATTGCTGCATGTTTATGTATGTTGAATTGAAAGACCCCTACCCAGGACCCCTAGGAAAAGAAAAGCAAGGCCAGGCCGTTGCCTAATGAAAAAACCCAGACCAGGTGCCTCGCCCAGCTGGCAGGATGTCAAACAGGATCTGTGGTCACCAGAGCAGTCATGGGACCCGGATAATAATTGCTGAAGCGTGCGAGGGTCTTTTATGTGGCAATACCAGGACACCTAGTCCTTGGCAACTACCCCTGCCCCAGTTGTGTCTATGATCACCATAGTATCCATGGAACCCGGATAATAATTGCTGAAGTGTGCCGGGGTCTTTCATGAAGTAATACCAGGAAACTTAGTCCGTGAGAACTACCCCTGCCCCCAAGATGAGCCAATGAAATGCCTGTTACTTATGTAACCATTAAAACTCTATAAATATTGTGCTCCCTGCAAGCCCGGTATGCTCTGCACCCGAATTGCAGTAGCATCTGCAGGCGCCTGTGTACTCAATAAATCACCTCTTGCATTTGCAGCCAGTGGTCTGGCCCCGGTTCTTGGGCAGAGTCAAGCAGAAGTGAGATGTGTGTGGATTGTTGCATGTTTATGTATGTTGAATGTAGAGCCAATGGATTTGTGGAGGGCTGGAGGAAGGCAAGTGCAGAGATGGCTTCTGGGTTAGGGCAAAAAAGAGGAGAGTTTTCCTAATGAGAAAAATTGTGTTACTGAAAAAAAAACCCAAAAAACAAAAACATAAACCACAGCTGCCCAAGAGAAAAGCTGCTGCAGGGCCCACCTTGGACAGAGGGGCTGATACTCACCTGTGGGCAGGAGCCTGGGCTTCAGTCATGCCTGCAGAGGTCAAGGCTCACGTGTGACATTGCAAGACCACTGAGCCCAACAGGAAGCTCCAGCAAAGACCCTGTCTCTCCTCTACCACAAGCCAGTGCTGCTGAAATGGAGACAGCATCGAGGAGGGAGCTGAGAGCTACACACTGCAACTCAGCATCACTGTGTCGGAAACTCAATCCGTAGAAAGTAACGGGTCTAAACTCCTCTGGAGACAATATATACCAGTGGCTAACCTTCCTAATGCTGTGACCCTTTAACACAGCTCATACTGTGACCCCCAGCTGTAAAATTATTTTCATGCTACTTCATAATGGTAATTTTGCTTCTGTTAGGAATCATAATGTAAAAACCTATGTTTTCTGATGGTCTTAGGTGTCTCTTGTGAAAGAGTGTCCCACTCCCCAAAGGGGTCACAACCCATAGGTTGAGAACCATGGATGTATGCCCTAAATCTAGTTTTACAGACTTGAACAGGAATTGCAAATTGAACCTTTCTTATCAGGTCCAGTTTGATATATGCTATATTTCAGAGAAGAAAATAATTTAAAGTCCACCCCCTCAAGGGGAAAATTCTGACTGATGTGACATATATAAAACTAATGTGCATTCATTATGGTTTGTTTTTTGTTATTCTTAACATCTTGCTTTTTTTAAATCTTTATTCTCACAACATCTTACCCAGTTAGATTTTAGGATTGTTCAGTTTTTCCCCACCCAATCTGCTACAGTGTACACTCTGTTATTTTTTCTATATATAGCTCATATATTTCCCCTCTCATTTCAACTTCATTCTTTCTTTTTGTCCTTTTTATCCCCTACTCTTTTTACTTTTTGGCAATAATCTTTAAACCCTGTGGCTCGTAAGAGCATCGCAAATGCCCCCTTCCAGATGCCATCCCA